GGTTTACGCAGTGTAGCGAGAAAACACGATCCACACGCGGCTCACGGGAGCACGTCGGTGTCCACGCAGCGTCTACGGAAGGAAACGTGGTCCGCGCGTTCTCAGGTTAATGACGATGATGAAGGTGTGTGTGTGTTTGTGTGTGTTTGTGTGTGTTTGTGTGTATTTGTGTGTTTGTGTGTTGTGTGTGCGTGTCCCCTCATGTGGCAGGTCACTTTAGGACAGTAGTGCAGACATCATGAGCCTATGCAGGTTGTTTTCACCAGTGACATTTAAATTGTAGGCGTATATTTGTTATTTTCTTTTATATTTCACGTCGGGAGAATAATTTCCAAGACACGAATGCGTTTTTACCTGTGCACTGCTGCTCTGTTCTACTGGCTCTTCGACCTCGTCCATTGTGCGACTGACGCCGCCAACGTGACGCTCTTACTGCGCGCGTTTTGTGTGGGTTTCCGACAATGAGTGGAATTACCGAAATAAAAAAATGTATAAATGTGTTTTTTGTGTGTGTGTGTGTGTGTGTTGTCCCAACAACACATAAAAACTGGTTTAATAATAAAGAAACTCACATACAGAAACAGTAAAGTTAGAGATTAAAAATGAGATTAACGCGATTAAAAAACATAACGCGCTAAATATGACTGTAATTAATTAATCGCAATTAACGCGATAATTTGACACCCCTAGTTTTAATATTCCCTGGGGGTTGAGATGCTATCTGTAGGCTCTGCTCTGTCTGAGGCTCTAGTACTCAAATTAGTATTTAATTTGAGTTTTGTTTTAATGCAATCTGACCAGAAAGAACTGATTTAGCTGGAACTACAACTGGTGAGCTGTTTTGTGCTGTTAAACAAATCTCTCACACATAAAATAAGTCATAGGTAGTAATGTTTTCAGTCACTCTCACTTTTTTGTTGAAAATCAAACACCTAAACAGGACATTTAACACTCATATTGATCACAGGCTCCTGAAAATATGTTGTTTAAATCTTTTTTTTTTTTTATTTACATTTAATCCATGTGTCATTCTTTTATTTGTTTTTCAAAATAAAACCAAAAATAAGAAAATGAAAAAACAACTATTTTCTGGTTTAGTCCTGGTTTTAGGCCTGTTTTAGTCCTGGTTTAATCCTGGATTAGTTCTGGTTTAGTTCTGGTTTAGTCCTCCTTGTTTAGTCCTGGGATTAGTTCTGGTTTAAACCTGGTTTAGTCCTGGTTTAGTCCTGGTTCAGCCCTAGTTCAATCCCTAAGGATCAAAATTGGATGAAACGGGAAACGTTATCAGGTTTTTTTTCCATTATTCATTTAAAGACAAAATTGAAAACTGAAAAAACTTATCGTTATCTGCTGGTTTTATTTTGAAAAACCAATGATCGAATGATACATTGATTATATTTATTGAGTTTTCAGACTATCTATAACTTTTTTTTTTTTTTTAAGACGGTGTTTGGTAATGTCTGCATTGTGTCTCCACAGTAACTGCTGGACTTTCCATTATATAAACATACATGTAGAACTTGCCCATACCCCTCAGTCTGATGTCAATGCAAAGTATAAATTTAAGCAGAAATATGCACTTTTTTATGTGCAAAGGAAGGATGTCAGTTCTTTTCTCTTTGCTGTAACAAAAGTTTGATTTATCAGCCTGTTTAAGTGTTGTAAGGCTTCGCCCGATCAGTGTCAAATACTCGTCTTGACATTCAGCTTTTTTCCAAACATCTTCAGTGTGAGACATCCCAGACTGATAATGAGTAGAACTGAAGTCTGAGTGCTGCACATATCAGTCTGGTACTCGCCAAGTTATCGACATATAGTATTCAGACAAAAATATAGTTAAATGTTGCGTTCCCTCTGATACGTGCCATGAACTTAAAGGTCCTATATTACGCAAAAATGACTTTTGTGAGCTTTAATCCTTATTAAAACATACCTGGAGTTGTGTTTTAATTCACATTTGTTTGAGTAATCCTTTATGACCATACCGGCTTTGTGTGGCCATACCGGCTTGTCAGAGCCTGATCCCGTCAGATCTCAGAAGCTAAGCAGGGCCGGAGGGGCTGATGGTGCAAATTGGCAGCCTCACTTCCATCAGTCTGCCCCAGGGCAGCTGTGACTACAATAGCTTAGCCACTACAGTGGCTTACCACCACATAGTGATAGTCTTCAAGTTAACTAACTTCTTCCTTTTACCTTTTTTCAGTAGAAATTGGAAATTCCAGGGCAGAAATCATCCAAATGACTCTACTCAAGGTGCATGGAGTTTAAAAACACAGAGGAGCACTTCTTGTATTACCACAGGACATCACAAGCTGGAGCAGTGTGTTTTTTTCTGTTTGAGAGAAGAACTCTCAGCCTAAATATACAGGATTTGTGTTTTAAACATATGTGACTGAAACAAAACACAGGTATGTTTTTAATGAGGAAACAAAATTCTAACATAAATCAGAAAATGGTGAAATATTGGCCCTTTAAATTAACTTTGCCCACAGATAAGAACTAAATACTTTTTGTGACCTAAAAAGTGTGCCTTCAGGGTCTTCTCTTGTATGTGAGTGAGCGTGTATGCGTGTGTGTGGATAAATATTTAGCCACTTTCACATTCTAGACTTTTCCTGACTTTACCGCTGCTACGCTGACACTTCACCTCTGCTCAGCTCTCATAAAATATTAACTCATGACAGCCATAAGAGCCCAGCTGTAGACAACAAGAAGCTCTGTGTCCTCGGGCTCCCGTTCAACCGTGTGTCAATCTCGGTCTTGCCACTTTAACTCTCTCAGCCCCGGGTCATGTTCCAGGTAACAGAGCAGATTGTGCAGGTGGAGACATTCCAGGAAGTCAACACTTTTATGGGCTGTGAAACTAAACTGCCCAATTTGCTCCAACGCCTCCCCATACCGCCCCTGTCATAGTGCAGCACAGGCAGCCCAAACAAGAAAATGCTATGTTGTTTTTTCATTATTTGAAGATTACGCTTTGGGAAAATGCCTGACGTTCTTCTTGCAATTTTTGTATCTCTAATTGTTTTTGTAATCTGTGAAACGTGCCTGTAATGATGAGACTGAAGTACACACAAACAAACGAAGCGAATAAACTGTAAAATAAACCACCAAACTTTTGAAAAATCCTGTATACTTTTTTTTTCAAAGATTACTTTTTCCCTTTTTCTTTTCTCAAATCATCACAGATCAGATGCACTATGGAACTCTTTGTTGGGGGTCTGTCACCTGCTTGTTTCTCTGCCAGGAATGTTTCACAGTGTGACATTAAACAGCTCCAATTTACATTTCAATTACAGGTTGTTTTATAGCTCAGAAATACGTAGAAATACAGGTGTTCTGACTGTGAGCATGAATTGCATGGATGCATTTCCACAGATCTGACCTGTAATTTTGTCTGGTTTGGTCTCCATGAAAATAGAAAGGTTTAACGCCATACCGTGAAACATCCCAGACAAAGCAATAGCATTTCCATGGGGAAAAGCATTTGACGGACCCTCCATCAGAAATGTTACACAATGCACCTTTAATACATTTTTTCTAAATATTTAAGTTGAGGTTAGTTTGTAAATTATATCACCCACATCTATTTTTAAGTATAACATGCCCATACTTCTTCATATACAGCTCGGGGTGGATCTTAATGACAACAAACGTGATGATGTCCAGATGACAACATTTTGACAATATAATGGAAATCCCTTAGAAATGTGCAAAATTGTGCCTGTAAATGTTTTGGTAGAGATTTATTTTTTTTGCTTCATTCACACTCTAACAAAATATTTTATCGGAAGTGCCTTTTGTTTAGACAGTGACGGCGTTTTTGTGTCTTAAAAACGCAAAAATCTGAAACCACCCTCCAGAGTGGAAGAGTTGAATACGCTCCACCGTAGCGTTTCCGTCTACACTGCCCAAGACGCAAAACTCTGGTCAGATCTGCTCACGTCACGTACGCGTTTACGTCACATACATCACCACCTAGCGTCACCACCGAGCCACCTGGCATGCATACCCAATCAAATTCCACACACTTTTGCGTCTCCGTATGCACGCAGATTTCCTCCCGAAAGCGCTCGTCTAAATGTGGAATAAAAAGTGAAGATGCGACGCCACTTTTGCGTCTTCTGTTCAGACCGTCATCATGTAAACGTAGCCTCAAAGTCGTCTTTTCTGAACACTCACAAAAGCTCTCTTCGCATTTTGCCAGTTTTGTTGCGTCACAGGTAAATGTCTGGTCTGGACTCTTCTGCATTTTTTTAGCCATTACCAGATTCATTCTGGTTCTCAAATTGTGTTCACAACAAAGTATATTTCTAAACGCAGACATTAATTTCAGTTAGAAAATGATAAAAATTTCTCCCAAGGTAACCAAAAACATGTTTAAAAGGGAATTAAAGCCACAAGAATGCATAATATGTTTTCTGAGTATTGCACAAGTGTACCTCCCAAAAAATTCAGAAATATTACTTTTACTTCTGCTCTATTTAAAACCTTGTTAAACAGTTTTTATTGTAGAGTTTGTTTGTAATATTTTAATTTGACTTAATTTCAAAACAACAATGATTATATTTTAAGTCGGCCCCATCTCTGCACAGCCCTTTTGATTGTCCATGTTGCTTTGATTTGTCGAGTTAATAAAACGCAGTCAGTCTCTGCTCATCTCAGTCTGCTCTCAGCTCTTTAATTGTGGTGCCCTTCCGACCATTGACCTCTCATTTGTTGTTTTTTAATTAGCTTGCTGTGCTCTCTTTGTTCCCAGGTCAGAGCAAAACACAGTCTTAAAAAATTCCCCCATTCCCAGACATTATTGCGTTCTATTACAGTAAATTAGTACTACTTGTGTTTGCATATAGGATTACATTTGCTAGTACAACAGATCTGTTTGTTTTCACAGAGTTTGAATTTCAATTTGTGTTGTTCCAGAGCCGTATACAAAACAGATGCAACTTTATATTTTAATCACCACTTCCTAACATAGAATTTTTTGTGTTTTCTTTCAGCCAAAGATTTCAAGACAGCCTGACTTATAAGGTATGTTCTTATTATGTTTTTGTTATAATGCCACACAAGTATCAATGTATTTTTAAACTGTGTACCTAACGTATAGTTAATTAGCTTTTCCCATAGAAATATTTAAAGTTGTCTCAGAAATAATAACAGTTTAATACCCATAGAATTATATCTGCAATTTGCTCCATTTTAGTGTGTCCCAGAATGTCCCACAGTATTACATTAAACAGCTCTGCCTTACATTTATTCATTTACAGGTGGTTTTACAGCTAAAATATGTAGAAAAACAGGCATTCTGACTGTGAGCGGGGCCGCCTCTCCACAGATCTGACCAGTAACTTGGGCTATGTTTACACTGAAACAAATCACTGTATCACCGTATCACCGTACCAGAAACGATTTGTGTCCAGGCACTTCGTTTTGTGTCTGCAAGTCTTCTCTACCCACACAGCTTTGAGCGTGTTTTATTTTACAGAAACAAAACTTAAAACCACATGGCTAATTTGCATAAACTGAGCTCTCAAAAAAACAGCTCGCTATTGTGCGCTGATGCATTCAGCTTCTGTCAGACTAAAGGACATGACTTAGTGGAATATATGTGTTCTTTCTGTGACAGAGGGGTGTTCTGCTGATGGTGAGTCTGTTCTGTGTTTCTATCACGTTGGAGATGGTTCATATTCAACTTTTCCGAGATTATATTGCAGGTCACACATATAGACCATATATATATGAATGGATATATATTCTAACGTTTTAGGATTTTGTCTGTGAATTACTTTGCAGCACATGGAGTGTATCAGCATTTTCAGGTGTCCACACAGTGCGGGATCAGATCCTTAGTTAGATGAATTCGTGAGAGCTGGCAGCACCAGATCGTTCAATCTCTGGAACCGTTTTCCATCGGATTAGTGTGGACGAACACTGCATCCACAACGAAAAGGACTCAAATACGTACTAGTGTGGACAGAGCTTTAGTCTGGGTTGGTCTCCGTGAAGATGAAAAGGTTTAATACCATAGTGTGAAACATTCCATACAAAGCAATGAGATTTTGATTGAGAAACGTATTTGACAGACCCTCCACCAGAAACGCTACACAATGCACCTTCAGCTGTTTTTACTCGAAAAAATTTTTATTATTCCAGTCCAGACATTAAAGTGCATATGGCAGGTTAGACTACTCATTTCTTCAAAACATAGTTACATAGAACATAGAAACATACATAAAACATAGATTCTAGAGTTTACTAAAAAAAAAAAAAAAATGTGCCTAGTCTTTTCTAAGTTTTTTATTTAACATTATGGTCCAACTTCCTGGTGGGACCATAATGTTAACAAGGGCCAAAACGTCTAAAAACATCTAAATTTCACTATATTTATGATTGGACTAATAGTAAAAAATAAAAGTAAATGACAACATCTTTATTTTATAAAATCAGTGTTTATATTTTCAGAAAATTGTAAATTACCCCTGGATTTAGAATAAAAGTGATGAGTTCATGGTAGAGGTTTTCCATTTTAAAACTCACCTACTTCCTGTATTTTCCAACTTATTCTACTTTTTCACAAACTGCCACTTAAATATTTAAGGTTGGACCAATGAAAAGTAAATGACAACATATTTATTTTATTAAATCAGTGTTTAAATTATCAGAAAATTGTGGGTAAATTGCCCCTAGATTTAGAATAAAAGTGACGAGTTCATGGTAGAGGTTTTCCATTTTAAAACTCACTGCTACTTCCTGTATTTTCCCACTTATTCTAATTTTTTTCACAAACTGCCACTTAAATATTTAGGATTGGACCAATGAAAAGTAAACGACAACATCTTTTTTTTGTTAAATCAGTGTTTAAACTTCGTTGTTTGTAAATCGTCCTTGGATTTTGGAGAGATGGATAGAATAGAATTGAATATATAGAATTGATGAACAGCTGATGGTAGAAGTATTGCATTTTAAATTTACCACTACTTCCTTTATTTTCTACTTTCCGTCATAAACTGCCACCGAACTGATGTAAAACTATGATAAATATTAACCACAGGGACTATTCTACCAAACCAAGTCATAATTAGAAAAATATATTAATCTGTCAAAAGCACTTTAAACTTCTAACGCGTTTGAATATGCATTGAGGTGGAATTAGTTTCACATTTAATTACATCTCATACAATATTATGATAGAACATTATTTAGTTTTTGTTCCGTTCTTAATATCCATGAGTCAGATGCACTGAGTTTTAAGCTTAATTCTTTGTATGATATCACTTACAGTTTTACGTGCCTCAACTGGAGAGCGGTGGTGCATAGAAAGGTGAAAGTGCCTCCTCTCATACTCATTGACATAACATGAGGAAAATACTGAAAAAGCCTTGTCAAATTAGAACTTTGGGAAACTGTAAAAGAAAATTGGAATAATTGGAGCAGGGTCGAGTAGCCAAAAATGACTAAAGTAAGACTGTTGAAAATGTTACGTAGGAAGAGGTTCAGGAAATGACTTTTCTGTAATTATGTATTTGTGGAGACTGTATTTGTAATAACAACTCTCTGGATGTAAAATTGGGCTCATAATTCAAAGTTGTTGTCAATTTAAAGCAGACGTATTATGCAAAGTCTCTTTCTTTTAACCATGTTGTTTCCTCTCACAATTTCCACGCTTGAAGTTGTATTTGGAGTGATTTGTGCATGTTTACGCAATCGATAATCACTTATTATCAACCGCGTTTTCATCTCCACAGGTTTGCGCCCTCTGCTCTGTACCAACTTCGTTCTCCAATATTATTTTCTCAAACTGTGATGCACATAGGATTTGGCAACCATATCGGTACAAATGCCAAAAAATCTGCAGCTATCCATTGTAGGGGTGTGCAAAAATATCAATATATTGAATCGTTTAATGTGATACAGTATCAATATCGTGGGCTGCTGTATTGAGATATTGCCAAGAGTATTTTTGGTGTATTTTATCGGGATGTCACAATAACCGTAATATCGTGATATCATATTGTTAAAAGTCTCACAATAATATCGTGGGCTGTCACAATATATCGAATTACAAGTTTCTGTGCTTAAATCAGGCATGTCCAAACTATGGCCCGTGGGCCAAATGCGGCCCTCAGACAAATTTGTCTTGGCCCTCAGGCTTCCGGGAGTATTGGCCCAAATTACATTGCATCAATGAAAAATTTACTTTTTATTGGAAGTTTTTTGAAAATCTACCTTGATAAAGCTAATATTTATTATTTAGTGTGTGGTTTTGAGGATCTTAGCATGAATAAAGGACTGATGGCTCATTCTAAAGTGTTAAACATGCACATATTTCAATTATTCACTGTAATGAGCTCGAGTCTACGGCCCTTGATCAGCTCTCTGCTTCATCTCTGTTTCGGTATGTGGCCCTTGATGAAAAAAGTTTGGACACCCCTGGCTTTAAATGCATAGTTTTACAGTAGCAACAGCTTATAAACATCGGGAACTACATATCCCATGATTCATTTCAGCGCAGACAACAAGAAGAGACATGTTTTTTACTTGAATTCTTGGGATTATGACGGAAATAATTCACACCAAAATCTTGTCAAGGTATTTTAAAAGCAAAGAATTAGTCTCTCCAAAATATCGCAATAAATATCGTACTGTGAGATATGTATCATGATAATATTGAGAATGCTGAGACAATACTGAGAGATTTTGATATCATTACGTCCCTAATATTTTAGTAAATTATTTTGTTACAGTGCTACAGTTTTGTTCCTTGTTTAGTGGAAAGAAAGTCATTTATGCAACACATTTGACGTTTTCACTGTTTTGAGGAGGACAGCCATGATTTTGCCTTTTTTTTTTTTTTTTTTTATGAACCGTATCGAATGGATTTGAAATATATCGTATAAAATGGAATGTTCACTATTAAGATATCAAGATATATATCGTATCAAGATATATATCATACAGTGGCCAAAATATATATTGTACAATGGCCTATGTATCTGTATTTCTTAATGATACTCAGCCCTAATCCATTGATGATGCCGGTTCTGTTGTGATGCTGTTTATGGTGATAGCAGCTCCCGTTGGGCACTGCATTTTTCTAACGCTGAAGTCAGCAGACTTGTTTCTATTATTAAGCTGTTTAAGATGAATATTGCAATTTGAAATGTGCAAAATATAACATAATGATCTACAGATGTCAGAGCTTATAACAGACACAAGCACAGTAAGTCAAGAAGTGCTGCACTGTGTTTTTACACTCCATACATTTCCACTAGAATAATTTGGATGAATTGTCACTCTCTACTGAACAAATGGTAAAAGGAGCTGTTCATTTGAAAACTACAGCTTCTTGACATCACAAGGTCGAAAAGAGCATTTTGAGCTTTGGAGCTACAGGTAGCCTAATAATAAAGGGTTACTCAAACATGCATGAATGAAACAAAACTCAACTCCAGGTAGGTTTTTGAGAAGGTAAAAACATTCTAACATGACTAAAAGCTCACAAGAGACAATTTTGAGCAGTATAGAACCTTTAATGCAGACTAGAACAGCAGTGTCCCCAGGCTGTTGCTCCCTGCTGTCCAAATCTCTTATCAGTGGGCCCAGACACATGTTGCTGTGTGACATCCGTGCTGTGATGATGTATAGGTGCTGTCATTTCACCCCAGGGAGATTCGCATGAGAAGTAGCCGCGGGTTCGTCATGGCATCCTGAAGAGTTGACTTGTCACAACAGAGGACCACCTCCAGCCTCTGTGTCCTCTGTGCCAGCAGAACCTTGCACATATAGGATTAGAGATTATTTAAAGGCCAGTGAAGAAAAGCTCTGTTTTCTTCTCATGTTGAGGTTGTGGCTGGTGTTGGATTAGTGTGGGACAGTCCAAGTTTTCCATTTCAACTGGGATGCATGCAATACAGCTTATTTTTTACATGCCAAAAATACACAAAGTAACCTCAGTATTGTTGGTTTAAATAATAATGGACCAGTTATATAGAACAAAATAATATATTTCAGAACGTAGCTTTTAACTGACATGCTGTGTTCAGACAAAAACACCCTGGACGCCTGTATTTGGATGCCTTTGCATTTGAGTTCAGACGCCCCAGACGAGCATCTTGGACGCCTTGTGTCAACGAGAGAAAAATATTTGATGCACGTCCAAGGCATCCGCTGTGGTCTACGAGTGCCTTGTGTCCCTGATCGAGAGTGACTTTAGTGTATTTATTATATAAAACACATCAGAGAAGGCGATCAGTGGCGGTGGTGGCCTGTATATATTTTGTATATATATTTATTCTCAGCAAATGACACTGGTTTAGTCCTGGTTCAGTCCTGGTGTGGTCTTGGCGATCAGCTGGGCAGTTGCCGCGTGTATATATTTATAATCCGCTAATGACACGCTGCCTGAACACTCAAGATTTGTGCCACTTTGACGCCTGACGACGCACCGCAAAAATGCAGGACGCCCTAGACACGCATCCACATAGACTTTGCATGCAAACTGGACGCCTTGCTGTTACCTTCTCTAAAACATATCTGGTGTTGTACTTTTTCATTCACACATTTGAGTACAGCTTCTTTTACCTTTTGTTTTGTAGAGTTTGGCAATTCCAGAGCTGAAATTAAACAAATAAGTCAAGTGAAGGTGTATGGAGTTTAAAAAGAACACTTCCTAAATATGCAAAGTTCGTGTATTTAAACGTGAATTAAACAAAACACAACTCCAGGTATGTTTGGGATGAGGAAATAACATTATAAATCAAAAAATAGTGTAATATGGGTCCTTTAAAAATATTTTCAACACTTTACACATTTACCAAGCTGCTTTTTAAAGATCTGTGCTGCACTACACATCTTATCCTACACTATATATCTTCTCCTATATCATGCCACTGAAAAGAAAGAACACTTAAACTTGTTTTCTTTGTTGGCTGGCTGTAACATCTCACACTTGGTACAAAACGCCTATAAAAAAGGACTGACTGCTGTTGTGTGCTTTCCCTGGAGATGGGCTGCTAAACACGCACAGTTGGACAAAATCCACACTGTTTAAACCAGAGCACTTTATCTTCCACATAAATATGAGCTCTAAATCTTGCTCGTTCTACCCTATAGTTTTGTTTACTGTTCAACTCCTTACCCAGAACCCCACTGTGTTCACGCCAGCGGGAGAAATAAGGACTGCAATACATTGTTTTTAGGAGCCCGTGCTTGTCCATTGTGCACAACAGCAGTTAAAGGCGGGGACAGCTCGTGAAGAATGGCTTACCGGCGGAATAGAAGTCTAATGGTGTGAGATATTGGCGGTCGGGGCTAGCTTAAAAGCACCTGCTCCCATGGCCTTGCTAGCATCCAGCGTCACATCGGAGCGGAGTGAGCAATGGAATCAATTAAACTGAATCGCGGTGTGGAGATGACTAAACGCTCTCCCGAGTCACTTGCTATGTGAACCGTAAACAGGGTGAATGCAGGACAGAAGAGGGCTGTCCAACTGTGGGGGGAAATGGATGGGGTAGAGTGGCTGGCTTTTTGTGTAATGTTTACAAGCAGTCAGTTTTTCCCATGCAGGTGGAAGTCTGTTTTCTTAAATTGTATTCCTCTCTTGCAGTTACAGTATGATAAACGTCAGCCACCAGAGACAGTCTCGCACGCTTCAATGACAGGAGAGTCAATAAACCCGAATGTGAATAATGGTGGTATTTACACTGGATTTGTCGATGATTAGTCGCCAGCGGCAACAGGAGTGCAAAAGAAAAGGTGGTGATGGAGTAGAGGGACGTAATGGGAAAGATGTTTGCTGAAGATTTAGGGTTTCTAAATATAGCAAGCAACAGGTATGAAAGTAGTGGTAAAAAGGTATGTGTCTAATCTTCTCAGGTTACAGAATATACATAAGGATGTGGTGGAAAAATACCACCACACAACTTTTTAGCCAAAAACAAACCCTAAAATAAAAGCATATGTTTTTCACTGAAAAAGGAGCATAGGATAAAAAAAGCCTCCTCAGAATAAGGATGCATCCTGCATGGGCTTGCATCACAACAATCCTGACTCATATTTGACCTGGAGGAGGCCTCCTGCTTGTCTCCATGGAAATGTTGTTCCTTTGACTATGGAGCTCAACAGTGACCGCCCGCTGTGATTCCAGAAGTAAATTTTCCATCTAATTTCCCTTTATTCTTCAAAAGAAAAAATCTAATATTAAAGGGACAGTCTGGAATTTTGGACAAAAGGCCTCATTTTCTAGAGAGCCAGAGTGTTGGAGATGTGTGGAGACACTTTTTTAAATATTCCATCCAGTCCTTGTATTTGCAGAAGTCGCTGTTGCTAAATTTTGGAGTGGGTAAGACTGTTTTTAGTGACAGGATAACTATGGCCATTGACATGCACTAGCCTAGCACCAGCGACCTCTGCAAATACAAGGACTGGATGTGTCTCCACACGTCTCCAACACTTTGGCTCACTAGGAAATGAGGTCCTATGTCCAAAATTCCAGACTGTCCCTTTAAAAATTCGAAAGCATTCTGGAGGCTGAGCAGCTACGTGCTAACTAATATCTTGATTTTTCCAAAAGCACATTTAAAACACAAGATTTAAATGTTTCAGAAACAGATTTTAAATAAAATGATATGTCTCTTGATCATTTGTCACCACATAGTTGATTAGCCCTTAGCAAACTTGCAAACTTTTAATATACATTTTGTTGGGGGGTGGGAAATCTATGAGAAAAATGAATGAGAAATGTATTTCCTGAACCAGGGAATGGGCGCTCACTGTTCAGCTCCAAAATATATTATACAGTATGGAATAATATGGGTCTGTCTAAATAGATAATGTTCTTAAGTTTGGCTTTAACTTTCTCTTTCCATGGAATCATGTGATGTGCTACATTTGGAAATGTAAGTTTCCAACTTTAATTTGATGTCAAAAAGTAAATGTACTGATTCAATTTGAACTTGGGTAGCTCTTTCCTTAAGAGTAGAATATTAGCATGCAAATAGAATGGAAATGAGGTGGTAAATTGAAAATGTATTTTATGGTTATTAACTTAACGTGTACCTATTACAATACACATCAGACATTCTGCTTTAATGAACACTGTAAATCAACAGGAAACATGGTTAGTATTTCCTTTTTATACTGTGGGAAACAGGACTATAACTCAGTATCCCCGTGACCTTCCTATTTCCATGCTATTATCATACTGAAAATGTGTGCAACCGAAACTTCCTAAGAATTTGTACTTGGGACATTTAGAGATATTCAACTTTTTGCATGTAATAAAATCCGTAGCCAGTTGGTCGGTTGGTCACTCTCTGCTTCTGATGTGATGGTTGGTGCTTCAAATCCCGCCGTCAACTTAAACATCATTGGTAAAGAGGTCAGAGGTCATTTGTGGACCTTGGGCAGGACACTCAACCCACCTCACCCCCAGTGTCTGTGTATACTTAAAGGTCGAAAGGTGCTGTAAAAATGTGACAATTTACCATTTCACATTTCATATAACTTAAAGTGTGTATGTTATAATGTTTCCCCATTACAAATATCTGGAGTTGTGTTATGTTCATGTTTAATACACAAACCCTGCATATTTGGGTTGAATTCTTCACTCAAACAGAAAACACTAAAGTTTCACCTTGAAATGTCTTATGGCAGTACAGGAAGAGCTCCGCTGTGTTTTTAAATTCCACACACCTTCACTAGAATTATTTTGATCATTCCAGCTGTATATGTAGATGCAGACAGACTCAATCTTTTATAATGCCAAATAAAAAATGGAAGATTTTTAACTTCCAGTAACACCCATCTACAAAGCTACCCTTTTATGCGCAGCCTAAAACCAACCGTTGTGTTTTCTCAGATCAGACTATATCAATGTTTTCTTTCTCTTTTGGGAAAGTATTTGCTCTGTTATCATCCCCGTATTTTAAGCAGCTTTGCGCTCTGTTTGTTTCAGGAACACATGATCCTGTGCCGCTTCGCCGACCAAACGGCAGTGCAGCTTCCCCCAGAGAGACGCCTCATAGGTAAGTCTCCCGACGCACAATACATCTGTCCTAAAATCATCCCCCTTCCCTTAATATAATCAGAAGTTACTTGTATTTTTATGCATTTAATTTAAAGGGACAGTTCTGAATTTTGGACATAGGACCTAATTTCCTCATTAGAGTGTTGGAGACATGTGGAGATACTTTTTAAAATATTCCATCCAGTTTGCAGAGGTCGTTGGTGCTAGGCTAGTGCATGTCAATGGCCATAGTTAGCTTGCCAATAAAAACAGTCTTACCCACTCCACAAAACACCAGAAGCAAATCTATTATTATGCCAGACTGTCGATGTAAATGCCTGTGTCAATTTTAGAAGTAAAACCAACATTGCATTTGAAGGATTTATATCTGAGTTGTACTTCCTGATAGAAAGCTTGGCAGTGGCGCACTGATATATGAGAAAATAGTCCCTCAACATGCGACAATTCATGTGTTGCAAGGTTAGTTTTATTTCAAACATTATTCTATCAACACAGACATTTACATGGACAGTCTGATGCAATAATAGACTGTTTTTAGTGGCAGGATAACATGACCATTGACCTAGCACCAGCGACCTCTGCAAATACAAGGACTGGATGGAATATTTTAAAAAGTGTCTCCACACGTCTCCAACACTCTGTCTCACTAGGAAATGCGGTCCTATATCCAAAAATCCAGACTGTATTACGGAGTTTATCTGATCTGTGTTATAATGTTTCCTCATCAAAAACACACCTGAAGTTGTGTTTTGTTTACACATGTTTAAACACACAAATCCTGCATATTTAAACTAAGTTCTTCTCTCAAACAGAAAACACTATGTTCTACCTTGTGATGTCATGTGGTAATACAGGAAGTGAAATGCTCCACTGTGTTTTTAAACTCCATACACACCTTCATTAGAATCATCTGGATGATTTCAGACCTGGTATTGACAATCTCTACTGAAGAGAAGGTAAAAGGAGCTGTTAACTTGAAAACTACAGTTTCATGACAAGGTGGAACAGAGTATTTTGAGCTTTGGAGACATAGACATAGACTATTAATAATAAAGGATGTGTGAATGAAACAAAACACAACTCCAGGTATATTTCTGATGAGGTAACAACTTTTAACTTGGCTTAAAGTTCACAACAGTCAATTTTGCACAATATAAGACCTTTTAAACGTCTTTATATGGGTTTGACAATATTTTAAACAGCAGAATTTCAACTTCTTCCAACAAGACCCTGTTCAGAAGAAGTGGAGAAACACATTTTGAACTGCTGCTGCCAGTAATAACAAGAAAATCACCCATACCTGTCCATTTCTGTACAGTTTATAAATAATGCCAGCCATTGTAAGGGTGCACAGTGGTAGGGTGATTAACCACAAAGTCTCAAAGCTGTACAACCGTTCACTTACCACCTGTAATGAGGAGAATGATGCAGAGTGAGTGGTTCTGGCCAGAGCTGAACGTCCTTTATTTCTGACTTTGATTAGACTTCAAATGTATTATAAGATTTAGTTCTTTTCACACTATACAGAAATACTACATGTGTTTCTTGTTTCTTTAGGTGTTAATGGTTAGTTTGAGGGTTTTATACGGAATATGTCTCCATGGAAACAGGATACTAAGCTACTGAAAATTCATCATTGTGAAACTTTGACCATTAAATTTGGTATTTTTCTTAATATATTGTGATTAATCTTGCAGCCTGAATTGTCTGTAGTGAGGACTTGGTTCGCAATCAGCAATTGTATTGTAGGGCCCATATTATATCATTTTCTGATCTATTTTATAATGTTTCCTCATCAAAAACACAACTAGAGTTTTGTTTTGCTTCATTCACATGGTTAACACACAAACCCTGCATATTTAGGTTATTTAGGTTATTATAGGAGTTATTTCTCTCAAACAGAAAATACTCTGTTCCATCTTGTGATGCCATGTGGTACAACAGGAAGTGCTCCAATGTGTTTTTAAACTCCATACACCTTCACTAGAATCATTTGGAAGATTTCAGCCCTGGAATTGCCAATCTCTATTGAACTAAAGGTAAAAGATAGCTGTTAACTACTATGAAAACTACCAACCACAACATGACATCACAAGGTAGAAGGGAGTATTTTTAGACAAACTATTAAACCAAGTGAAACAAAACACAACTCCAGGTGTGTTGTGGGGAGAGTTTGTTGTTTGGCTTATAACTGTTGTGAATGCGAACTGATGAAGTTTTATTGAAAATGTTGAACTTGTGTGGGGGTGTGCGTATGTGTGTGGTCCTGAAATATACAAACAGAGAGGAACGATATTAGGAATTATAATATACTCTATAAATACAAACAAACACGAGGGAAACAGTAATAGTTTTATAATAATAGCAGGCCATTAGCTCGCTCTTAGCACCTGGCATTTAGCATTTCCTGATATTACAAATAAACATCTAATTGGCCCTTAAACACACATTTTCTATAATCTACTACTGCTACCAACTTCAAAGCACTCTGCAAACATGTTGATGTATATGTGTGCTGTTTTTAAACCACTACTCACTTCTTTAATTGCACCCACGGCACACCGAAAACTACTAAAACATGTAGCGCTGTCAACCAAACTTGAAAACGATATCATCTGATTGGTTACAATGTCTGTCAATCAAACAATATAGGCCCTTTGAAATATAATCTGCTAATTTACTAGCAGATAACTGAAATATCATGATATCGTACCGTCAAAAGTCTCACAGTAATATCGCGGGCTGTCACAATATATCGAATTGCGAGTTCCTTTGCTTGAATGCATTGTTTTATACAGGGTAGCCGCGAGGTCTTAAAAGTCTTAAAAAGGTCTTAAAATTAATGTTTTTAAATTAAGGCTTTAAAAAGTCTTAAATTATGTTGTCAAAGTCTTATTTTTTCCCCAAAGGTCTTAAATTTCATTAGCCTATTTTTTGTGTACTCAACCGGGCTGCAGTGCAATGTTAAACGGAGGGACAGGAAAAAAAAACAACAACGTGAGATAACGTAACATGAATGAACGTCTAATTTAGAGCATGTGCAAACAATACTTTGTTTTTTGGCACCGGCAACAACTGTAATCAGTTCCATTTACACTGCCCAAGATGCAAAACTCTGGTCAGATCAGTTCACGTCTCGTACATGTTTACGTCACACACATCACCACCTACCGTCACCACACAGCCTCCTGACATGCATACCCAATCAAATTCCACACACTTTTCCATCACCGCAGATTAACTCCCAAAAACGCTCGTCCAAATGCAGAATAAAAAGTGAAGACACTACGCCACTTTTGTGTCATATAAACGTAGCCTTAGATTCCAGATATAGTACTGTAGTTGGTTAGTCATTATCAGAATTAGACCTGGTGTTTTTTTGCCAGCATAATGGTGGCAACATTGGTCTTAATTTTCATTTAAGTGGTCTTAAAAAGGTCTTTAGAAAGTCTTAAATTTGGGGTAGTCAAAACCGGGGATACCCTGTCTATAGTAGCAACAGTTCATAAAAAAAGTAACTACATATCCCGTGATTCTAGGGATGTAACGATATCCAAGTCTCACGATACGATATCGTCACAATATGAACCTCACTTTATGATATTTATTGTGATATCGTGGGAAAGCTCATGATATGGTGGGGAGGCTCACGATCAGGGATGTAACAATATCCAAATCTCTCTCTGTACGATATTTTCACAATGTACATCTCACGGTACGATATTTATTGCGATATTTTGTGGAGGCAAACAACAGTTAATATGCTACTTTTTCCTCTTAAAATGCCTTGACAAGACTTAATCCAAAGAACTAAGACTTAAAAGTGCTTAGAACTGTTATTTCTTTTTGTAGTCGACACTGAAATGGAGCAAAGGATCATGGTCTGTGTAGTTCCCTCTGTCTTTTTTAGCTATTGCTGCACCATAACTCTTAATTTAAGCAAAGAGACTTGTGATTCGATATATTGCGATATTGCCCACGATATTATTGTGAGAACTTTGACAGTACGATGTCACGATATTTTGGTTATTGTTACATCCCTACATGATTAATTTCAGCACAGACAACATGAAGAAATATGTTTTTTTTACTTGAATTCCTGGGATTATGACGGAAATTATTCACATAAAAGCAGTAAGTATACTATCTACAGTTCTATAAGGTTCAACAAAATATTGCAATAAATATCGTACTGTGACATGCATATCGTAATAATATCATACCGTGAGATTTGGATATCGTTACAGCCGTATAATTTACTAACATGCTTTATTTTTTACTTTTCCTCTTTCCCTCTTGAGTGAGTGTTGAAGAAGTTAGGAAATGTGACAGGGGAATGAGACCTCGCCTCTGTCAGTGTTTTGTCTCAGCCTCTTACATTTTGTTGCGCATTTCCGAAAAAGACTTGCCAAATATTGCTGTTTTTCAAAGAATAGACTTCTTTAAACCACACGCTGTACTTCGACAGGCCAACGCTGCACTTGATTCTTTCCGCTGACAGTAACAAGACAAATCCTGACACTGGTTCTCTGATTCCCCGTGTCATTTAAATAAACATCTGGACTTTGGACATGCCTGGGAACCGTCTCGTGTTTCTATCTACAGTTTGAGTCGGAGCATCTGGAGACGACAGCTGAGGGAGAGCGGCGAATACAACGGGGAGATCTGTGCTCGTCCTGATCGCGGCGCATTTTTTATCAAAGCTCCGTGTGAAGGCGCTTAACGTGCACGCGCGCTTTCTCCCCGATGCCTCTTCAAATGTAAGGCCTTTAAAACGTACCTGACATCGCCTGTCACTGTGGCTTCTGCTCCGGATCAGTTAACATATCCCTCCGCCATATTTGATCACCTGTCTCCTGAGCCTGCCTGCGTTCTTGTGTGCGCCACTTCAACTCTTGACGATATAGGACTATTTACCTTAGCTGTCACCTGCTAAACTGAGGAATACATTTGAAGTCGGCGTTCAAAGGGGTATCCTAAGAGACCGGTAAACAGTGC